CTTCTTCCACACCATTTTCCCTTCCTCTTATTCACACTGTCAGGCAGATTGGGGGATTATTAATTAGGCATTATTAACACTCAGTAAACAAAACATTAGGCCCCGCTAGAAACACAATCTCGAATCACAGCAGGCGGTCCCAACACACGCGCACACATATGCGCGGATGTGCGCACACCATCACACGACATGCCCCTCCCCATCCATCCCCTTGTACAATCGCATCGTGCCCTTCGCCCTCTCTTGCAGCGCAGAGATGACAGCAGGCATAATCTGAAAAGAAAACAATCAAAGTAATGTAGCCTAATTATACGTTTACTTTTTCACTCCATCTTCCACTCATGTAAATATGCGCAGAAACGCGAGACAGCGAAAGAGAGAGAAGAGGTAGGGGACCAAAATCGTCAGTCAATGGAAAAAAAGCCTTTTTAAGGCAGGGACAACAATTAACTACGTTTTAGCCCGTCCTTGCATATGAGGTGTGAGTCTGTGTGTGCGCGCGTGTGCAATGGAAAGTTATCTCATTGGTTTCCGGATGAGAAACCCCTATCAAAGAGGGTCTTTATCTTTGATGATCCCACAAGCGTGTGCATATACATATTTTGCACTTAAAGAACGGGTATTACAGTATGTAACTAACCATTTCATATAAACATTTTTTTTAAGTGGCATATTTATTGAAGATAAAATTCTGAGATTCACACAATAAAATGGCATTAAAGTGCCAAGGCAAGTAAAAAAAATGGTATTACCTGGAAGATACATATGTTGAGCCAAACTTTCCAGCTTGCCTGTTTTTCTCAACCAGCCCTCGAACATCTGGCGTGCCACAGTCAAGGATTGATGAAGCATACAGGATTCAATCTCTGGACATACAATTCAATAAAAAAAAATAAAAGAAATAAAAGAAAGATGCTAAGAGTAGATCAGAGAGAAAGAAAAAGGTCAAAGGGTGTGTGCTAAATCACTGCAATTAGGACATAAATACATATTGAAACATGAGCAGAACTGAAATATTTGTATCCATGAAATTAATTGTTCAAGATAGTGTACAGTGCAGTTTTTCGATAGAAATTTCTGGTGTAAAAACTTCTGTTGGATTTTATTTAATACTATTATCAGAATTTTTTTTTTTTAGAAATAGAAGTTTCAAGTCACACTTCAATTCTATGTATTTTGCTTCTAAGGAGCCAAACCTTGTAGTTTTGTGGTGGTCTTGAGTAGTAGTTCTCCAGGCTTTCTGAAGCCTTTATTTGTGTGTGTGACTTTGATTGTTAAGCCATTTTAACACTGACCTATGAATCATTCAAGCAAAAAAGGCACCTAACTCAAAGCATAAACCCATTGTGTTGCCTACATATAATAGATAACTTAGCATAGAACCAACTTTAAGTTGTATCTTTAGGCTTGTCATTGGCTGGACAGAGTGGAAAAACTGCAGCAAACATACAAAGAAGAGCTTTGAATGTCCTACAAGAGACCTGGAGAACTTTTCCTAAAGACCAAAGAAATTAGAAAAGAGATTTTCTAAGAAAGTTGGAGGTGTGTTGAAGAATAAAAGTTGTCATACCAAATACTGACTTTTAAGTTCATTAGAACTTTATAAACTCTTTTTTTAAATGCAAACGTGGGAAGTCTGTTAAAAATGCAAAATTCAAAGATTTAAACTACTGGTGACGATCCACTTAAAGACATTAAGGTTTTTGAAACTGTACAAAGCCAAAAGCCAAAGAGGTGCATCAGGAATGATAAACTCTAAGACCCTTTTTAGGTAAAACCACATATGGTAGGCATCTACATGGAGAAAGCTTCAGTGAGCAGAGATCATCTCCAGGGAAAGAGAGCCAGTCTACAGAAGCAGATCACAGCAGCCTCTAGCTGGATCAATGGGAAGGCTTTTAACCACAGATACAAAACTCACACTGTCCCTCTCATATGCATGCACACACACACGCACCAAGACACACAAAGGCTGGGTGATTGATGTCAAGTTGTCTATTAATACACTGGCTTGTGGAGTTGCAAAGCAATTCAATTAGGATTTCCTTGTCTTTAAAGCCTGCAAAGACTTGAGACAAATCCAATCGACAAAGACAGAGAGCACCGAGCGAGGAAGAGAGAGAAAGACAGAGAGAGAGCAGGGATGGATGAGAAGCTGATGCACGGATTGATAGCTAGAGAGTCAATTCAAAATCAAAGACCCCTCCTGGACACAGATTCACAATAATATGTAGGTTAGCATGAACACGAAACACACATACTGGACACCTGTGCATGAGTGTGCTATGCATAGGGATGAAAGGGCAAAGAGCAGAGCAGCTTACTGTAATCTCATCACCAGCACACCACAAGAGGAGAGGTCAGCACATACACACACACACACACACACACACACACATAAAAAGGAAAAAGTTGAAGAGAGAGATTTGAGTATTATTGAACATTAAAGTGGAAGAATATTTGCTCCCATCACTAGAAGCAGACAAGCAGCAGCCAATGACATGCATCAATCATTCTTAATGGAACATTTCCATTGATTTTCAGCATGAGTATTCAAGGTCAGAGCAACAGAGGCTCTCCACTCTATAGTCGGTGTGTATTTGTGTATCTTTCTGCACTATAAATGAGGTCAACAACTGCTAAGAAAAAACGGAAAATCTATTCTCAAGATATATCTAAATGTCATCAGTTCACATTTCGTTCTTGCATATCTTCTCATCTATTTCACTGTATAAAACTGAACCCTATCACAATTCCTTATCGTTTTCTATTCTAACACTGGCGGCACAATAATGCCATGCGAGATAAACAGTAGCCATTAGCACAAGGCTAAGACCAACAGCTTCCTTTACAAGAGGAAATACCACGCAGTGCCTGCGGTATGTGAATGGGCCAATTTGGCTGAGCCCAGAACAAATTATGTATTTTTCTCAACCCCCCTTTCTCTTTCAGTGTATGTTCGATCCATTCTCGGTATGATTTCACTTACAATTCTCTCTATGTGTTTGTTCTGTGAAACAAAGCTGCCGGTCAATGGTGCATTGTTTGTGTGCCCAAGTGTGTGTATGTGTGCGTGTGCTTTACAGGCTCCAAAATGTTATTGTTTGGTCTTATTGTGATCACTAACGGAGCATTGTAGCTGGCTGGGACAGAGATATTGTAAGCAGAGCTAAATATGGCCATATCGGTCAATGGGGAAGAAATGTGTATTTATATTTCCTGCATTTGTGAAACAACTGCAGCGAGTCAGAGCTTCTTTTTGTCTGTGTAGTTGCTCGGCGAATAAAGCAAGATCTGAGAGGATGGGAGAAAAATGACAGGAATGATGAAAGGAGATGGAAGAAAAGAGGCAAAACAAGGGGCTACAAAGGAGATTAGACAGGGAGAAGTGTAAATATAGAGTAGAAAAGAAGAGCAAGACGGTTTGCAAACTGACAGAGTTGATCAATAACCCACTCAGTGAACAAATGTTGCCAAAAAACTCACCTAAAGATTTGTCCTAAAAACTTAATTATAGGCCTAAATCTTAACCACACACGCACGCACACACACAAAAAACATTTTTAACAAACCTTGATTGTTCTTGCTTCTAAAATGCTCATCAAGCCCTAACCCTAGCCTTAGCATTAGATGAAGTCTTAAACAAATTCTGACAGGATGGCAATTACTGTGCTCTTAACTTGGTATTGTAGGCAGTTAGGATTGGTAGATGCCATTTTGAGCAGTAGTGCTGGGTATTTGTCACTGTGGGTGCCCCATCTGCTGCGTTTGCCTAAAGATAAAAGAGGTAGATGGCTATTCTTCCACACTACAATCCAATCTTTGATTTCAAGGCTGGAACACGAAGGATACGACACGCTCGCTCGAAAAAGTCACTTCATAGCTATAGCAGTGCCAGTGAAAAAGTCTTGATCACACAGCATGGAAGAAAATAAAATACTAGAATATTTCATTAGCATTAATGATAGCTTAGATTGCAGCATGCTAATTAGAATGTTTTCAGCTTTTAATTGTCAGTAACAACTGGTGCAGTGGTTTAAGCAGAAACTTTGTGATTAGGATATCTGTATTTAATTGACTGCAGTTATGTAATTGGCGTTTATATACACGTAGCTGCTCGTTTAGTAGGTGCACCAATCATAGTGGAAGCTGTTTTAGAATTGTTGACTATACTGCCTTAAACACAGAAGCATTTCTGTTTTGCTTACAGAATTTTTCAATCTGTGGATTTGTTTTTTTAATTACACAATTGTCAAATTGTCCTAGAATTGATGTTTTAAATATATCAAAGTCTCCCATATCATGTAACCTACAGCATATCATGTAGATTCATCACATTACATCAATAAATGGGAATGGGAAGGGAATCTGTGTACTTAAAACCCCATCAGGAAAATAAAAAAAGAATTCACAGAAGTATGATTGCAGATAAATAAATATGAGCTAGAGGAACGAGGCCGAGATGAAGAGATAGACGTTAAGAGAAGGCGAGGGGAGGACGATGTAAGGATACTCTGAATGGACTTCTCATTCCCATCTGATAGCAGGACTTCCGTCACGTCAGCACAAATGGCAACCTGAGAAACAGAGAGATAGGGAAGAGACAGAGAAATGAAACAACATGGAACAAAAGAACAAAACCAAAAGCACTCTTAGATGTCGCAAACATCTGAACACACAGACACACAATAATGACATAACCATATCTACAAAGCTTCACTCTTGCAGCCCAGCCCTCCCCGCCCTTTCTCTCCATTGCTCCCTCTCCTCGCTGCCATTTCGCTCTCTATCTTCACCCCATTTTTATGTCTGCATTATTTTAATCATTCAATCAAATCAGTCAATACTTTTATCATTGTGGCTAGCGGTGGGGGCTGCTATCTTGCTATCACTCTGTTCAGTAATTGCATTGTGACAGGGGATGATGGCAAGCGCAGAGCCTTTTCATTTGACGCTGGGTGTTTATCAGGCCGAGCCATCACTCCGTTTGCCGCTGTCACTCTGCACTCGGCTCGCCAGGCCTGCCTGATGCCCTTCATATAACTTTGCAGTGTAGACTGCGAGAGGCGAAGAGAAAAGAGATGGAGGGAGACGAGAGAATGAAAAGAAAGCTTTTGCGCTGCGCTGCGTCGCGTCGCGTGTCTCTGCGTGAGGGAGATATAGATAGAGAGGTGTGTGCTTTACTATAACCTCATCTTTCACGTTCTCTTTTCATTGCAGATGCTTTTTTTTTTATATCGGTGGGTGTGTGTCAGGCTGTCTATTTCTGTTAAGGAGTGTGTATGTGCATATACACACAGGTGAGTGTAAGTGCAAGTAGTTATTGTGGTGGTATGCATATAAATCCTAGGATTGAAATGGCAAAAAGAAGCTGTATGATGTAGTAGACCAAAGATTTTCTGAAACAGAATACACGACACATGTTGACCCTGAAGGTTGTGTGAGAGGGTCACAGCGTGCTGTGTGTCCCACCATCTGCTCAGACAGAAGATGGCACCTCAGGCTCAACTAGTGCATTGAACTGAAAGATAGAACCCAACCTGACAGTCCATGAGCAGCATCCTGCCACCCGCTGTCACCACCGTACCACACATGAACGGTATGTACTGCTTTTGGAGGAATATATTCTGCCACCAGTGTGCTGACCATGTGAAGTGAAGGTATCCTGTAGCATAATAACAAGGATCTTCATCTAAACAAAGGCTGTTACCCACCAATTAACCTGACATCCAGTCAAAAATCTTGCACATTTTAACAGTAAAAAAAAATGAGTTTACTTTGTTTTATGTACTAAGTGAAGTGCATCTAATTAGTAAAATACAGTATTCATACGTTTTTCTCATAAACCAAATACGTAAATCTGTGCAATGAAAGCACAACCTAATGCAGAGTCTAGGATTATAAGATGTACGTTTCTCCTGTTGTATATGTAAACATATTGTTGCTTTTGGCATTTTTGGCATTTTAATCTAGAGCAAAATAATTATAAAGAAAGTAAACTGAAAACAAAGGAGGGGGGGGGAATCAGTGCTCACATGGACAACATGTGGTGAATGTGGTGTCAGTGACGGATGAAAGAGGGAAGAGGAGAAGGAGAGGTGTGAAGGAAGGATTCCATCTCAAGCCACCAATGTCAAAACATGGTGTATTGACTGCCAAGAGATAAAACCCAGCTTTCAAACACACACACACACACACACACACACACGCACACATAGAATGGCATCTAACAGATCGATGGGACGCTGACGCCTGCTATGTGGAGAAGCCCTTAAGGCCCTGGCTAATAAACCCTATGGCTGACAGACTGCAGCACACCTGCAGTGTGTGTGTGTGTGTGTGTGTGTAAATACCTGAGTTGCAGTTAGAATGAATATTTGTGCTGAATGAAATTGTATATATCATGCTGAAATTATCCAGTTATCATGTTTTCACAACATTCACATCCTCTTTGTCAAATTCATAAGCTTCACAATTCTCCATGTAACATAAACTATGTTAGATGAGCTACAAAAATGCATTTTCAGTTGCAGTGGGTTTATTTTATTTTTTTAAGAAATATGTAAGATTTGGAATTTCTTTTTTTAGGGTGCTGGGCAAACTGCATCAGTCTAGCATGTTTTCGACTGTGGGAGAAACCCTGAACGAGCACAGGAAGGACATGCAAACTTCACATGAAATGCAAAATACCTCTATAGTCTGGTACTGAATAACATTTTGAAGGAAATTTATAAATTTATCTATTTATCTATCTATCTAACTGCTGAGTCCTCCTAAATGACAGTGTGGACATACTGTGGAGATGTTCAGGCAGTTGGGCGCTAAACAAAAGCAGAAGCTGTTTTATTAACTCTGAACAGTAGTGCTTAACTTAATTAACATCATCTAAGTAGAGAGTTCCTATGCATATACCCGTAAAGGTACACACAGATGTACAAACACAGACAGATGCCCACAAGCAGTAAATGATAGTGTCTGAATAGGTATGGATACTCCGTGCACATGCTGTGTGTGTATTGATCGGTGAGGGTTGGTTTCATTAAGCAAGCCAAGCTATTTCTCTCACAGAAATATCTGTGTGTATCTCACTTACCATGAGCCCACCAAGGCAAGTCATACCTCCTCCTAACTCACACACTGCACCCCTGAGAGACAGATGAAAAAAGAGAGAGACGAGTTGGAGTGAGATTCACTTTGCTGAGCCAAACCAGCAGTTTAGTACTAAAACACACACTTGAGTTCATACTGTACAGTAGATGCACACAGATGTAGATACACACTCGCGCACACACGCATACTATCATACAAACACTAGAACACACACACACGGGAAACACAGCAGGGTAAGAAATATCAATTCAACCATCAACCTGAAAGCCGAATATTGAACACTGAGAAGCACAAGCTCAATCAGCGGGAAATCTGAGGAATACACACACACACACATCCACACCAGACACCCAGAGTCCTGTAGCTCGGATGCTCACTCAACCCCTCTTTCCATCCTCTTCCTCCTTTCATCTCCCTTCACCTCCATCTCAACCGCTGTCCTCTTTCATCCCTCCCTGCCTCCCTCCCTCGCTTGCTGACCTTCACTTCGCTGCTCTGATCAATACCCCTCTCTTCCTTGCCTCCCGCCTCTTGAATGTTAAAACAGGAAATCAAAGGGTGACGTTCCACCTTGAGTGGAAATCAAAAGTGCCTGGGTGCTTTTCAGCCCAGTGCCACAGGGCAGGCCGATGCTCAGCAGACAAGAGCAGGGGAAAGAGCAGCACAGAACAACAGAGTGGCACAGAGAGGTCCAAGCATTTACTGCAGGTGTAAGTCTGATTTACATTTGAGTGACTTTCAGAAAGCCCGCGTTTCAGACTGATTTTCTGCCAATTAAATTTATGAACTTGTAAAACTCTGCACTGTTAAAAGGTCAATTAAAATATTACTTAAATCTCAAAGTAGAACAACAGAAATATTCTGGTGTATTAAATGTGTTACCCTTCCCACTTCGACTTTACTTTCCTCCGCCTTCCTGGGAGTGATTTGTAATTTCAATTTTCTCCTTAATTTTACTGAAGAGTAGACGCATTTTAAAGTCAGATTTCTATTATTTCTCTATTGTAGTTTAACAATCTGTCAGTGCAAAAAAGAAAGTATTGCTTTCCAAAATGTTTCAGAGAAAGAATGATGGTGATCTTTTTGTTCCATTATCATAAAACAGCTTCTTGTCATAAGTGGGGTATTCATGTAGAAAAATATGGTTGAAAGTAGGGAGTTATATATGCTGCAGAAGATCTTTCTGAATACCTCATTTCTTTACAATAAAATACAAATTAACATTTAAATTGTAAATATTTTACTGATGTCATACTACAGAACTTATAACTGCTGTTAGCTTTTATGCATTTGGGGAAACAGGTGAGTTGTTTGTCGATGAAGCGAGGAGTTCTAAAGAGAGGAAAAACTCACTTGAACATGTGACGTTTCTGCAGACAGTAATGCGCCATCACCTCTTCAGATGGCCACACACCTATATCAGAGAGAGACCAAGACAGAGCATGTTATTTACGACGCCTGACTGGTGTTACATGTTACAAACGTCTATCTTGCATATCTACAGTGATAAAACGCTTTGATATCTTTACCAAACATTAAAAGAAATGAATATTGATACATAAAACCCCAAAAAAACAATGAGTGTTCAGTGAAACATAATTGGATGCATTGTTTTTTTTTCTCCAGTCTCTGTTCATTTGCTTCTCTTGTGCTTTCCACCTTGCCTGTGATCCAAGGCTTCTCTGTCTGTTTGTCTGTCTCCACGTCTGTCCTATCCTAAATCCTTGCCACACACTCTCTCTCATTGGGCACTGTGTATGCAAGTGTGTGTGCCTGAATGTGCGCGTATGTGTATGTGACAGGGGGTCCAGTGGGTGATAATCACAGCGTGCAGGCCTGTCTGGCTTATCACCTACTGTCAGCCCTTCTTCTTCTGCCGTGCATGTAACGCACACTAAAACGTGCACACTTGCATCCTCTGTACCGTTTCCCCTCTCTCTCAGCATACACATATATACCCGGTGACAAATACACACATCTTGGCAGTAGAAGAAGTAAACATTCATTTGAATAAAACTTCAGCTTTTTGCTTCTGGCTTTGAACAAGAAGGTTCGCCTTGGTGCTGTCTGTGTGTATTTGTGGGCACATGTGAATTTGTGTGTATGAGCGTGTGCTTGTGCGCTTGTGTGTTTGCGTGCGCAGGTTTGTATGAGGGACTTGTTTAAAATAAAGAATGAGGGGATATAGAATGAGTTTCAGAAAGCAAGCAAGCGAGGGATACAGAGATAGAAAATGAGCGAGGTAACGAGAGAAAACTGGGGAGGGGAGGGACGGAGGAGGAGGAGAGAGAAAAGGTGGTAGTCGATATAATAAGCGGCTTACAGGCGGTCTCTGTTCACCTCATGGGGTAGACATCACTGCTCTCTCGCTCTCCCTCTCTATGGCTACCTCTCTCACCCGCTCTCGCTCTAACTCTCTCTCTTTCCTCTCGCTCCGGTCTGCCAAGATTAGCTCAAGCAAGCAGGATTTAATAATGCCTATTGATAAAATGTCCAAATATTCCTTTCCCCCATTAAAAAAAAGAAAAAAAACCACGCTTTCTACATCTCACACACACACACACACACACATAAAAATACAATGACAGCCAGAGTAGCTACACTTCTAGAAAGTGTCAAGACATTCAAGGCTGAAATACGGTGACATTTTAAATTTCATCTGTTACTCCCCTTTACTCAGGAGCTTGCCACACAGTATGGAAAACTTTATGCTGTCAGGCAACACGCTGGTCAGTGGCACAAAGGTAGAGCAATGCTGGAGCTCGTCATGCAAGTAACTGTTATGTGACATTTTCTTATTATTAATCTAGTTTTACTCTTAAAAGTTAAAATCACGCATTGTGTTAGCCATCATTAATTTAGATAACAAGTAATTTACTCAAGAAGCTGAGTAGGTTTACTCAAACGGCAGTGGAAAAAAAATGTATGATAAAATTTTCAGTTCAGTTCAATTCTATTTTACTTATATAGCAAATCACAACAAAGTCACCTCAAAGGTCTATATAGGATTTGCAACGATCAGACAACCCCTTGTAAGCTAGAACGTGGTGACAGTGGGAAGAAAAAACTCCCTTTTAACAGGAAGAAACCTCCAGAATAACCAGGATCAAGAAGGGGCAATCATCTGTTGTGACCGGTGGGAAGAAGACAGGGCAAAAGACACACTGTGGAAGAGAGTCAGAGATTAATAATAACTAATGCAGAGTGATGTTGATAAAAGGTGCGTGAAGAGTGCTTTATGGGAAGACCCCAGCAGCCTGGGCCTATTGCAGCATAACTAAGGAAGGATTCAGAGTCAGCTGATCCAGCCCCAATTATATGCTTTATCAAAAAGCAGTTTTAAGCCTAATCTTAAAAGCAGAGAGATTGTCTATCTCCTGAATCCAAACTGGGAGCCGGTTTCACAGCTCACAGTTTTTCATATGATAAACAATTTTGTACCATATTGTGAGTGTTTTCAGCATGAGGACATTGTATGTGACATAAACTGCAGCTCCAGGGTGTGCCAATAAAGAAAAGGGTCAGCTAGAGCAACGATGAAGCTCATTGTGGGTTTATCTTTGCAAGGAATTTGGTTAAAATTACACACTGTAAAATATATATACACATTATACTGGATATTGTCTGTCTTTAGAAGCATCACAGTTCTCCCTTCAACTTTGATCCTTTTCTTTCTGATTGTATGCTCACATTATATTTAATAGCATGAGAACCCAGACCTTTGCCCCGTCAAATAACAGTTTAGCCCCTTCCCTCTATGTCAACAGATGACACTTGACATAAAGGGTCAACCAGAACATCTTGAGCAGATGAACAGTAGAGGGTGGTAATGTAACATTAAAGTGGGTATGTGCTACTAAAAGCAGAAGTAAAAATTAGGCTCTTCACACTTTCATCAGCTGCTGGCTTCTGATCATGTACACAAATCATGACAAATCTTTCCAACGTAAAAGACTATGTGTCACTTTGCTATATAGAAAATAACGCCAGTTAACAGAGTATCTAAGAGTTCAGTTCAATCACAATAATGTAAAATCCCCACTTTCATCACTTTTATTGAGCCAGTCCTCTAACTGTTGCCCACACTCCCTCACACAACAAAGTCTATTCATACAAGGTTTTGTGCATATGTAACGCAAAAGTGCGCACACATGTTTGTGAGAGGAAGACACCACTGGGTAATACAGCTTTGTAAAGCAATATGTGACTCTGATGGTTAATCCCCAACTCCAATAACATTAATAGCCCAAGGTGATAAGAACTGTGCGTGCTTGCATGTGTGATAAGTATGTGGCATCTGTTTTTGTGTGTGTGCCTCCTAGGTCGAGGTGCACTGTAGGAAATGAAGGGATCAGGAGCAGAGAACAGATTACTCTTCCTACTCAGGATAATGAAATTATTTCCCACCTTCAATTACTAGATGAAGTAAGAAAGCAGTCCAGGTGTGTGTGTGTGTGTGTGTGTGTGTGTGTGTGTGTGTGT